CACAGAAAGCTGTTACTTGTGTCTATCAGTCACGTGAGAGCCAGCAGTATATAAATTTTTTTTAGAGATATACGTTGCAACAATCAAACTAGTACAGCACAGTGGCAGATCTAAAAAATTCAGATGTGGGAGCAAAGGAGGGGCGAGGGATCTAGGCAGGGTGGCACATCCCTCTTCAAGTGAAGTATGTGGAAATCTCCTACATGTAAACAGAGTCAACAAAATATCCACGGCTCTACAACAGGTGGGCAGTTGCCCAACCCTGCCCCCCTGTAGATCCACCCCTGGTACAGCAGGTATGTTGAGCCCTGAATTTCTCATATTTGCACAGTACAACTCACAAACACTGGTTATTCAGACCCCCACCCCAAAGCTGCAGTTTGTTCTTCTTCAATTTATCAAACATTATTGTAAAATTGTTCTACAAAGTGTTGATGATTTTTGCAGATTGATGAAACTCTATCTTCGTTTACTTCTGAGAAACTCTGCCTCTCTAATTGTACATTGTCTCAGTTTAAACACTTGATATGTACTATTGTGAATAAAATGTTAGAGCGGATTCTTCTTTTATTATTTTGCACAACACCCCAACTTTTCGGGAAGTTGGTGTTGTGCAGAAAACAATGACAGTGATTGCGAGATTTTAGCTGAAGCTGACAAAAGTCACAAGAGTGACACCTGCACTGCTGATGTAATAATAATAAAAAAAATAAACGAAACAAACCCAAACCTTAAGTATCTTTTATATAAACTAAAACTCAAAAATGTATTCTTCAAAAGTTCATTTATTTAAATGAATGTAATGATTACGTTAATGATTCATGAATCACTGCTTGGTAAATACCATTTACAGATTCCATTAAATGTAACATTTTATATTCCATGTAACAAAATTATATGGACAATTTACATGTTATCAAATTACTTTTGATAGTAATAATTTTGGGCATAAATATGATTTAAATGTAACCAGTGTCATTAATTTCATGACTTCCCGAGCTCAAAAGAACATGAATCGGTTCAAAATAAAGCAACTAGTTAACTACTCCACTCCATTTATCAGACAGTCTGGCTTACAATAAAGATTTCTGTGGTTTTACTGAGATATTTGAAAAATCTATGTGAGATTTCCCAGCTTTATCTGACAGAAATATTGTGTAACATGGACCCTAATGTGACCCCAACCATGTACGGATTACTAAACAGCCCTACAGAGGACTCTACTGCCTATTTATAAGTTGTTGTTTAAAATGAAAACAGTATGGGTGAAAGTGCCTAATGAGTCTTAATCTACAACAGCCAGAAGGCAAAACATTCCTAAAATATTTTTTCCCTCACATGGACACTCTGCGGGAAAAAAAAGAGCATTAGTTCAGTTTGTCCTTAAGGAACGTGATACTTTATGCTAATCAGTGGCTTTGTCTTCAGGTTGGACTTAAAGGTACATATTGTAAATTTTTGTTTAGCTACTGTCTCAAACTGAGCAAAATTAACGTAAGCTATCAACAGAGGTTAAAGAGACAACCAATACAACAAAACCACTGTCAAAAAACACTGAGCTGACGAGATATTTACTCAAGTTAAAATGTAGCAGGGCCGCACTTTTCTGTAGCATCAATTTGTAGCCCAAGATGGTAACGATTCAGTGGCATTGATGACATTCACATGTTTTTATTTACAAAGGCAGCCTAGAAAATATGAAGGCTTCTCAAGGAAATCGGGCTGAGACAACAATACAAATAAGAAAAGAATAAGTGCACACATTTGAAAACACACCTACGGGCACAAAGTATTTCCCCTGATAAGTTTCAAGAAAGTGAGAACATGATACATCCTTGGAGTTATGTGGTTAAAGTTATTGACTGTCGCTACTTTCACTTAGCTCCACAATTTACTCTGTGTGCTGGATATTAACCTATTCAGTGTTAATTCCCAGAGTGGTTTTGTGTCCACTCAAGCAGGTTCAGCATTTGATTGTGATTCTGCAATTTTTACAATAAAGCCACAAGCTTCTCTAGCAAAGAAGATAAACCCCAAACCACATGCTTTCAGTGACTAATAACAATCTTCTGTTGTTAGCAGCCAACATCCTCTCTGGTGCTAGACATATCCGCTGCCAGAAAATTGGTTGCTGCAGTGTTCACAGGGTGAAGATTGGTGAGGAGTGCACAAAATTCCTTTTCTTTTAGCTGTTATGGTTACACCATCTGCGCACTCATAGTGTACTACATGTAGCCATACTCTTGTCAGTATGAATCCACATCCATCCATCCAGCTTTTGTGATGTTCAATTGAGACAGTTTGCCAGTCTGCCAAAGCACTAACACAACCTACTTTAAATGCACATTTGCACATAAAATAGCATGCACCAGTATATAAGCATTTGAGATCAAACTAGTGTTAAATGTATATAAAACTTTGTGTGACCGCAGTAACAGTGCTTCAGCCACCAGTAGAGGTTAGCTAACCTTATTATTCTGTGTTAAGCTTGCATGACTTTCTTTCTTTCTTACTTTTTAAACATATGGACTCTCAGAGTGTGCAGAATAGTGGGAACAGAAGCTACATAATAGCTGCAGGGTCATTAACAGGAAATACCAACAAACACACTGAGTGAATGTGTATGTGTGCGTGAAGCCGAGTTCCTGTCTGACATTCACCAAAGCAGCTTGTCTGCTCCATAACTGTCTTTCATGCTGTAGCTATTTTTATCTGAATGGCCAAAATCAGGCTGATTTTATGCGAGTTTTTCCGAGTCCTCTTTTCTGCTGAACGGGAGAAGTTTGTTACTTAAAGAAACTTAAAGGATGAGTTTTAATGTACTCCCTTAAAACGTTTGTGCTGCCTTTTGCTCATGTTTATGACTTTCTGCAAACATATCCTCTCATCTTTTCTTTGGTTTATTTAATCATGACTGGCTGAAAGTCTGGATTGAATCACAGACTGGCTGGAGATCTTCAGTGACTTTGCTAGGAAATCTACCCCCCCACCACTACCCGATCTCCAGCTAAACATGGCTAACACCAGCTGTTCATCACTACAAACTACTTCACACTACTTATGCAGTCATTGTTTACTGAGTCCAGTAACAGTGAATTAAACAGTTGGAGTCACACAAAGTACTTCTGATGTAGTTATTTATTTTTAGCGAGTAGCCGGATGGATCAGATGAAAGGCTGCTTTTTAGAAGAGCTTTTTTGTCCCCTTGGTGACCAACAGGCAACACTACAAAGTCGAAAGTCTACAGATGTGCTAAAAATCTGGAAAGGGGAATTACAGAAGTGCTACACACTATTATCCGCATGTTAATGCTCTCCCAGTGCAAAAATAGTGACCTTTACTGAAGAAGGAACTATGCTAATGATTTCACAAGGTTCTTGTCAAGAGACCTTTTCTATCATCCACTTATCATTGTAATATACACATGCTATAAACAGCAGGCTATAACCGGCCGCTATTTAAAGGAATCCCTCGTTATGTATCCAAATCTGACCACCAGAATCTGTACTGTTGTAAGTTACCTGAATACAGATGGACTTTGTGCGTTCTTTTGCACACATTTTTTGCTTTTGCTGGCTCCAAACACCATTTTGGTCAAGCATAACAGATTTCCAACAGCTAATCCAGATAAGAGTTGTTACAGAGTTCCCCGAGGGTGAATCCTGGTTATCCTACATTGGATCCATATTTTAGTTGTAACCAAGATCCTGCAAAACTAACACAGCCATCAACCATCAACCTGTTTGTTTGTTTGTTGTTGTTTTAAAAAAAATTGGACACTGCCTGAAGTGCTGCTTCTCTGAACACAGCGTTAACAATACTTTAGATGGTCAGCTGACCAGAATTAGAGACCACATGATGGCTAAGACATTCCACTGTGCTCACACTGCAGACATAAACTACTTTAAATAGAAGCAAAAAGTACATTAGGAAAATGTAACATCCTCTTTCCATGCGTTTGTAAGCTTCTGGGAAAGTGAAACATATTCAGATAAGCTTGTTAATATTAGCAATGATGTCCACTAGATGATTTCTTGCTGTACTCTGAGTGATCAGCAGATCAGGTCTTTTTTTCTCTGTCTGGTGAAAAATGTCACAACAACAAGGAGTTTTGCATCCACTGCACTCGCTATGTTGCTTCATTATAATTCTCAAGACTAAGTTAGAGGCCTGGAGGAAACTATACGAGGTTATAATTCAGTAGCAGAGTAAGAAATACTCAGATCTATAAAGTAACATTAGTATTGTAGAAATTGTTTCACAATTGTATTACTGCATTTTAAAGTGTGAAAATGTTATTTTATTTTTTTTAAAATAATTTAGTTATATTTTCTGGCAGGAAAACAACCTGTACTGGAAAAATGATCCAAATTCCAAATAGTGATTTTTTAATTTTTTTTTGTCTTATTATTGTGAGTCTTACGAACATCACATTGGATTCAGTTGGGTTTTAATAGCACTTGAAACAATGCATATTGTGGATATTTTATTTTTTATACTTAATTTTTGTACTTTATACTTTTATACTTAATTAAACAATTTCTAGTATCTAATCTAATCTGTTCATTTATATTTTCAGAATTTTGAATTAAAAAAAATTCAAATTCAACCTTTTATGAATATGAATTTGCAGGCCGAATAGTGCTTTATTCTTAAAGCTTCACGTGTTTCACAAATGAAAACAATAGAAACAATAGAAACATCCGTTGTGAGGATGGATATTTTTTAGAATAAAGGAGTTTTTTAAACTTTAGAGCCACGACTGCTGTGTTTTCTGTCTTCACACTTTAAGAGAAGGACTTCTCATATTTGTTGTTTCTGAATATTTCCTGCGCGCATTGCACGGTTCAGACAGTCACATTAGATCAACGCTAACTTCATTCACACTTCAGTGACAACTGAAGACGAAACGACTCTAACGCACTCACACACCGCGCGCGCTCAGGCGGGGCTTAGAAGAAACACCGTTGCACACGCACGCGCGCAAATAGAGAGGGGAGGGTCTCCGCGCTCATCTCTCAGTTTCATTGACTCCATGTGAAACTCTGCTCAGCTCAAGTTTTCACTCTGTTTTTTCTGTTTTTAACATTCAAACTCTCTCGTCTTAGTTCTTCTTTCGTACTGCACGTGTTTGCCCGAATAAGAACACACAAGTCTCGTGCGAAGCCGGTCCACGCACGAGACTCTTTAGGAGACTTGGGGAGCAACAGGAGGATTTACGCACGAGCGAGACCCGCGGGGAATAATAAAGTGGATTTAACGGAGACGTCTTTCACGCGCTGCGGTTCTCCTGAGTCTGTCAGCCCCTGGACCTGTCTGACCCGGGATAACAGCTGTCTGACCCGGGGTAGGCTTTCTGCTGTCTGAGCGGTACAGTAAGCGAAATGTGGACCGTTTATACAGTGAATGACTGATAGAGCTGATGAAGAATCAAACAGTGCTGAGGAGTCAGGCTGAAAAAAATATTTCTGTGTTAACGGTTCAATGAGTCTGTAAATAAACTGGTAATAATGGCAGCAGTCGGTAAAGTCATAACTCTTCATATGACCCAAAAGTTTGGGGGTCCTTGACATTGGAAACTTGACAACAGTGTGTTTGAATGTCTGGACCATTACTTATAGTTTTTAACTAGCTGTTATTAAGCTCATGTTTATTTAGAAAAGCGTAACTTTGTACTTTACTCTGTAAGAGCAACCACAGCCCAGCATGATTCAAACAGGCTAAAATAAGCAAATTAAGATAATAAACAAATCCAGAGAAACAAAAGCGCAATGAAAAATAGATTTTGCAGTTTTCCAATTTTGGAAAATCGACTTGATTTAATTTTTTTGTTCACTTTTAGACAGGAAGAAAGATTGGCAGCACTCTCACTCACTCTTTCTCCTGCTGTATAGATTAGGAAACAGCCAGATGACAGTTAGTTGAGCTTTGCATATGGGCTGGAAGCAGGGGGAAACTCATAGCCAGAGCAGACAGCAGAAACACTTAGATTTTTGCACTGATGGAAAAGTAGATGTAACTTTTCTTTAATTTAACCTGAACAAATTAAGTGATTTCCTCTGCTTTCAGTCTGTGGTTGGATATAAGCAACCACTGGCTGTGGTTTCTTATAGAACCAGACACCAGAGTACTTCACAGGGGTGTGTCTCCTAAGTAACTCTGAGACTGTCTGACAGTAGATATATATCAGCATGGGGTTTTTTTTGGTTTAATCATCCGGTTATCTCATGTCTAGACTCAGTGAAACATTTAAACATCAAAAACTCATCCTTTAATTAGAGTGCATTTTGTTATTTACATATGCCAAAACTCAGGCTGACATACTTAGCGGCTTAATAGTCTGTGCACTGTGGTGTTAAGTAAAGTGATGCATGCTCGAATTAAACATACTTTGTTCTCATCTAAGGTATCGATTGATTAACTGCTCATGAATTAAGTAAATTGAAGCTGATTTTATTCTTTTTTTTAATACATTTTCTGTTATTTTCTGAAATTACAACAACAAACAAGTCATTTGAAATAAGTGAGAGGATGAACCTGTGCAATTTCCCCTTTTTTCAATAAAGTCCAGTTAAATGAATTACTGATGTCCTACAGTGGAAACGCTGGTAATAACCTCACACTTGTGAAATGCCACATTTTGGGCAATCGTCACATAAATCCCACTCAGACACAACTAAACTGTGAAAAGAAAAATCTGGGAAAAATCGAAAGGAAACTTTAAAGATTTGCTTCAATGACCAACTGTGTAGCGATAAAATGTAAATTGCCGTACTCATTCAGCATAACCTGTTTTCTTCTCGCAGTTTGCCCTCCATCATGAAGGTCTCCGCGGCCAGTGTGTCTGCACTGGTCATGGTCTTAGTTCAGACCCTGGTTCCTCCTGCTGCAGGATACAGTCTGGATCAGGACCACAGTCTGGAGTTTAAAGGCCCGCCTTCCTCCATGTTCGGATACTCAGTCCTGCTGTATCGCCACAACACAGAGAGCTGGTCTGGATCACTACTAGTATTCACATTATTGGTCTACTAACAACTCACCAGCCCCCTCCAACCCTAACCCTGACTTTTGATCTGTTTATCTACTACTGATTGTCCACTGATGTGCCGTTGATCATCGTAAACTACATTTCAAAGAATGCTACATGCTAGTACCTCACTCATGCAGTTTAAATTGTAAAATAACTCACAGCTGTTTTTACAGTCTTATTCTAATTGATTTAATTGCCATAGTAACGCTCCGTAAGCTGCCATCTTCACACAGTATCACTTTGTGTGTGTGTGCCCACACCAGTTAGCCAGTTCTTGCCAATGAGAGCAGCTCTTTGATGCTTCACACACAGATGCGATTTAGATACTTGAGACAAAGACAAAACCAGTGCTAAATGCCTCTCTTTCCCTCTTTTAGGTTAGTAGTTGGAGCGCCAGTCGCAAACACATCCTCCGATCATTCAGTGTCTCCAGGAGCTGTTCTCCGCTGCAGCATCGCTGCTGCTGGACCCCGGAAATGCCACCACATGACTGCTGGTGTGTGTTTTTGTCAGCCTTTGCGTTTAGTCTTTTCCCCCTGCGTTACTCCAGCTGTTGATGGAGATGAAACTCAGATGAGAGATGCAAGTTCAGCCAAAACATCCTTTATTGTGCTAGTGTTATAAACACATATATTTAATAAGTCTGGATGTACTGTAGATGCTATATAAGGTGAGTGAAGGTGATATGCTGACAGTCAACCACGTATCCATGTGTATGCAGATGTGTCTTGGTGTGGAAAGACGTGTGAAGCCGAGCAAGATCACCAGTGGATGGGAGTCAGTTTATCCAGACAACCTGAAAAGGAAGGGGGACACATCCTGGTAACGCACACACACTCTCTCTGTGCTACTTAGGTTTTTCCCCCATGTTATTGATGCTCAGTGAGCGACACTAAACACGTTTTTCTTAGTTTTATCATCTTCGTTGGTTCAGCAGTTTCCTCAACATGATCGTTGTTGTGACTTTGGTGTTCTTGGTGGACTTTCTGAAACACCATTTGGACATAAAACACGTGGCCTGTGGCAGTTCTGTCAGACAAACCTCGAGTTTTAGCAAAATGCTGTTCACCATTCTGGGTGAAGAGTGGTTTTTACAGTGTGGCTGTTCAGAAAGGCTGTAAACTTTTGGTATTTCCAGTGAGGTAGGGCAGCATGCCATAAAACAGACACCATCTAAAAGACTGCAAATGCCAGCAGATAAGAGTTTGCAGTGCTTAACATTTCAGGGCTAGCGATGGTTGGTGGTGTGCTTTGAAGGCATGGTGCACATCATATAATTATATAAAAAAGGTATTTTTTAACAATTTTTATGGAAATCCCTTTTAGTGCTGGTTATGTAAAATAACTTCTCTGTATCATTCAGCATTTCAGAGGAGCCATTGTGCTGTTAGGTTTGTTTGATGCTGGGAAAGTGGTAGGTAGTCAGACTAGATTAGTAACATTACCAATGATGTCCACAATTCAGCACTCACTGAGCTATTAGCAGATCCTGCACACTTAGGGATGTGTCTCTTTTTTATTATAGTGACAAATGAATATCCTTTGCACTCCCTGTTTTACTCTATTATGATTCACAATATGAAGCAAAAAGAGGGAGTCAGAGAACTCAGAGAAACTAATCCAAGGTGCAGGGTCACTATAGAGAAACCGTCAACGCACGTTAGAACAGTATCATAAACAAACTCAGAGGTTATGGACTCTTATTTTTTTAAACAAAAATCCATTTTACATCCAGCTTTATGACAAAGAGTCAGCAGTCATTAAACAGCAGGTCAGTCACTTAGAAAGCCTGAAACATTTGCACAACAGACAGCAACATTTGAAAAGCCTGAAGGCATTTCTGTTACACACAATGGAGGCAGTGATGTGATTGAGAAAGTATTTACAGCACCTAATGTCTCCTCACTGTGATCGTCTGTGTAGCACAGGGGGGGAAAGAAGCAAAGAAACATACAGGAAAATGATAATGTTCAGCACACACACACACACACACACACACACACACACACACACACACACACACACACACACACACACACACACACACACACACACA